CCTCAGCCCCGGCGGCGGCAGCGGCACCTGCACATCTGGCGGCCTTGCTCGCGCTTCCGGGATGGCGCTCGCGCCGCCGCAACGTCAACACGCACCGTGCGTGCGTGCGTGTGAACGTGCATGCCGGCGACGTGCGCAGAGGCCTGAGCGAATGAGGAGGCGCCACACCGGAAGGGGCGGATCCTAGGCGCTGCCCCCTGTTCGCTCGTGCGTCATCAGAAACAGCCAATCAGCAGGCCCTTTGGTGCCTGCCCGGGGCTGCGAGACAGCCCGGAAGTGGGGCAGCGGCCAAGGCGCTTCTCCGCTTGCAGTGATGGCGAGGCTGAAGGCTGAGACTAGCGGGTGGCTGGCTGCTCCTTGGTGCGTCGTGGCAGGAGGGCCAGGATGTCCGTGTGCCACATTTGCAAGGATGTTTTTTTGCTCCTTGAAGGCAGCCCCTGTCACTTTGTCCACTGTGAAGTTTATTTTTCCCCTTTACATTTAATTAATAGGCATCTAACATATACTTAGTGGTTGTGGAGATAAATACCCCATTTATCATATTATCAGCAACAAATTGTAGCATCTTCGAACCACAATTACTAGTGGACTATTTGCCTTATTGTTATGTTTCCAGTGATTAATTTGATTATTCACTAGGATTTTTGGCTATTCGCCAATGATTTATTCAATTATGTGTCAATCTAAACCCTTGATTAGTTACTTTGCTTTTATTAGTTATAGCTAATTATTAGCATTATTCAGTTTTGATCCTCTCTCCCTTGAGATGTTCCCATCCCTCTTGAGTACGCCCTTACTTTCTGGCACCACGGGATGTGCCAGGTTCTGGAACAATCCTAAAAGCAACCAATTTTCCTAGAGCCTGATTCCATCTCTGGGGGAACGGAAACCAAGATCGGGTGCTGAGTTTACTCAGTGCTACCAAGCTATCACTGCTTCAATCTAGACTCTCACCAAAATTAGAGCTAGGAAATCAAAGATCGGTATCTTGTTCCCTGCCGTGAAGTTGGCTCTGATTCATAGTGACCCAGGTAAATGGGCCAAATGTTGCTCAACCTTGTGCAAGCCTCACAATCACTGGTGTGCTCAAGTCCACTGTCCCAACCACTGAGAAGCCTGCGTGCCTTCTCAATGTGGGAGGCTCATCCTCCTGCACTAGCATGGACCATGTTCTGTTTGGATGTCTGGAGTTTTCATTGGATGATTCTCAGAGGTAGATCATCAAGCTTGTCTTCTTAATCTGTTCATCTAGAAGCATCTCTGAAACCTGTCCACCACGGGTGACCCTACTTGTATTGGAAACGCCAGCGGTAAAACTGCCAGAATTGTAGCAACACTCAAGCCATTGCTGTATGACAAACTGACAGATGACTGGTGTATATGTACATATACTAATATATATCATTAGTTCATACTGGTATGAAGCTATGTTTTAAATTAAATAATCTAGTTAGATGTATGAACCAAATCTTTTATTCATTCAATTCACTGCCATTGAGTTGATTCCAACTCATAGAGACCCTATAGACCTGCCTCTGTGTGTTTAAGAGGTTGTCAGTCATTATGGGAGCAGGAGGATTTTTTTCTTCGCACGGAATGGCTGCTGGGTTTGAAGTGCCTGCCTTGTGGCTAGCAGTCCAGGCACCGCAAGTAGGAACTGCTCGAGAAACGTTAGCAATGGCATCGTTAGTTATTGAGCTCCTCCGAGGCATATACATTATGCACGCTGTATAACTGCTATGGATGCGAGATTGTTAACTGTGGGTTATAGTGGACCCAGTCTCCACTACACTCTGAAGGTTGTCCAGAGCTGGGGAAATAGGAACATGGTCCTCAGGAACATGGACAACTGTGTCAGAGCCGTGAAATAGGACAGAGTGCTCATTCCAATTCTGTCACCTCCTTGCTGGATGGGCTTGCCCTCCCCAAACCTCAATGTCCTCATTGGTATAATGCTTACAATGCT